ATGTTACTAGTCCCCCCCCTGTTTTCCAAGTCTGGATCAAACTGAAGGATTCCTTTGAGGGTCTATGTTACTAGTCCCCCCTTTTTCAAGTCTGGATCAAACTGAACGGATTCCTTTGAGGGTCTATGTTACTATCCCCCCCCCTTTTCCAAGTCTGGATCAAACTGAAGGATTCCTTTGAGGGTCTATGTTTTACTAGTCCCCCCTTTTCCAAGTCTGGATCAAACTGAAGGATTCCTTTGAGGTCTATGTTACTAGTCCCCCCTTTTCCAAGTCTGGATCAAACTGAAGGATTCCTTTGAGGGTCTATGTTACTAGTCCCCCCTTTTCCAAGTCTGGATCAAACTGAAGGATTCCTTTGAGGGTCTATGTTACTAGTTCCCCCTTTTCCAAGTCTGGATCAAACTGAAGGATTCCTTTGAGGGTCTATGTTACTAGTCCCCCCTCTTGCAAGTCTGGATCAAACTGAAGGATTCCTTTGAGGGTCTATGTTACTAGTCCCCCCTCTTCCAAGTCTGGATCAAACTGAAGGATTCCTTTGAGGGTCTATGTTACTAGTCCCCCCTCTTCCAAGTCTGGATCAAACTGAAGGATCTCTTTGAGGGTCTATGTTACTAGTCCCCCCTCTTGCAAGTCTGGATCAAACTGAAGGATTCCTTTGAGGGTCTATGTTACTAGTCCTCCCTCTTGCAAGTCTGGATCAAACTGAAGGATTCCTTTGAGGTCTATGTTACTAGTCCTCCCCTTCCAAGTCTGGATCAAACTGAAGGATTCCTTTTGAGGGTCTATGTTACTAGTCCCCCCTCTTGCAAAGTCTGGATCAAACTGAAGGATTCCTTTGAGGGTCTATGTTACTAGTCCCCCCTCTTCCAAGTCTGGATCAAACTGAAGGATCTCTTTGAGGGTCTATGTTACTAGTCCCCCCTCTTGCAAGTCTGGATCAAACTGAAGGATTCCTTTGAGGGTCTATGTTACTAGTCCTCCCTCTTGCAAGTCTGGATCAAACTGAAGGATCTCTTTGAGGGTCTATGTTACTAGGTCTCCCTCTTGCAAGTCTGGATCAAACTGAAGGATTCCTTTGAGGGTCTATGTTACTAGTCCTCCCTCTTCCAAGTCTGGATCAAACTGAAGGATTCCGTTGAGGGTCTATGTTACTAGTCCCCCCTCTTGCAATTCTGGATCAAACTGAAGGATGCCTTTGAGGGTCTATGTTACTAGTCCCCCCTCTTCCAAGTCTGGATCAAACTGAAGGATCTCTTTGAAGGTCTATGTTACTAGTCCCCCCTCTTGCAAGTCTGGATCAAACTGAAGGATTCCTTTGAGGGTCTATGTTACTAGTCCTCCCTCTTGCAAGTCTGGATCAAACTGAAGGATCTCTTTGAGGGTCTATGTTACTAGTTCTCCCTCTTGCAAGTCTGGATCAAACTGAAGGATTCCTTTGAGGGTCTATGTTACTAGTCCCCCCTCTTGCAAGTCTGGATCAAACTGAAGGATTCCTTTGAGGGTCTATGTTACTAGTCCTCCCTCTTGCAAGTCTGGATCAAACTGAAGGATCCCTTTGAGGGTCTATGTTACTAGTCCCCCCTCTTTTCCAAGTCTGGATCAAACTGAAGGATTCCTTTGAGGGTCTATGTTACTAGTCCCCCCTTTTTCCAAGTCTGGATCAAACTGAAGGATTCCTTTGAGGGTCTATGTTACTAGTCCCCCCTTTTCCAAGTCTGGATCAAACTGAAGGATTCCTTTGAGGGTCTATGTTACTAGTCCCCCCTCTTTCCAAGTCTGGATCAAACTGAAGGATTCCTTTGAGGGTCTATGTTACTAGTCCCCCCTCTTGCAAGTCTGGATCAAACTGAAGGATTCCTTTGAGGGTCTATGTTACTAGTCCCCCCTTTTCCAAGTCTGGATCAAACTGAAGGATTCCTTTGAGGGTCTATGTTACTAGTCCCCCCTTTTCCAAGTCTGGATCAAACTGAAGGATTCCTTTGAGGGTCTATGTTACTAGTCCCCCCTCTTCCAAGTCTGGATCAAACTGAAGGATTCCTTTGAGGGTCTATGTTACTAGTCCCCCCTCTTCCAAGTCTGGATCAAACTGAAGGATTCCTTTGAGGGTCTATGTTACTAGTCCTCCCTCTTCCAAGTCTGGATCAAACTGAAGGATTCCTTTGAGGGTCTATGTTACTAGTCCTCCCTCTTCCAAGTCTGGATCAAACTGAAGGATTCCTTTGAGGGTCTATGTTACTAGTCCTCCCTCTTCCAAGTCTGGATCAAACTGAAGGATTCCTTTGAGGGTCTATGTTACTAGTCCTCCCTCTTCCAAGTCTGGATCAAACTGAAGGATTCCTTTGAGGGTCTATGTTACTAGTCCCCCCTCTTGCAAGTCTGGATCAAACTGAAGGATTCCTTTGAGGGTCTATGTTACTAGTCCTCCCTCTTCCAAGTCTGGATCAAACTGAAGGATCTCTTTGAGGGTCTATGTTACTAGTCCCCCCTCTTGCAAGTCTGGATCAAACTGAAGGATTCCTTTGAGGGTCTATGTTACTAGTCCTCCCTCTTGCAAGTCTGGATCAAACTGAAGGATCTCTTTGAGGGTCTATGTTACTAGTCCTGAAGGTTCCTTTGTTCCCTCTTGCAAGTCTGGATCAAACTGAAGGATTCCTTTGAGGGTCTATGTTACTAGTCCCCCCTCTTGCAAGTCTGGATCAAACTGAAGGATTCCTTTGAGGGTCTATGTTACTAGTCCCCCCTTTTCCAAGTCTGGATCAAACTGAAGGATTCCTTTGAGGGTCTATGTTACTAGTCCCCCCTCTTGCAAGTCTGGATCAAACTGAAGGATTCCTTTGAGGGTCTATGTTACTAGTCCCCCCTCTTGCAAGTCTGGATCAAAACTGAAGGATTCCTTGAGGGTCTATGTTACTAGTCCCCCCTCTTCCAAGTCTGGATCAAACTGAAGGATTCCTTTGAGGGTCTATGTTACTAGTCCTCCCTCTTCCAAGTCTGGATCAAACTGAAGGATTCCTTTGAGGGTCTATGTTACTAGTCCCCCCTCTTGCAAGTCTGGATCAAACTGAAGGATTCCTTTGAGGGTCTATGTTACTAGTCCCCCCTCTTGCAAGTCTGGATCAAACTGAAGGATTCCTTTGAGGGTCTATGTTACTAGTCCTCCCTCTTGCAAGTCTGGATCAAACTGAAGGATCTCTTTGAGGGTCTATGTTACTAGTTCTCCCTCTTGCAAGTCTGGATCAAACTGAAGGATTCCTTTGAGGGTCTATGTTACTAGTCCCCCCTCTTCCAAGTCTGGATCAAACTGAAGGATTCCTTTGAGGGTCTATGTTACTAGTCCTCCCTCTTGCAAGTCTGGATCAAATTGAAGGATCCCTTTGAGGGTCTATGTTACTAGTCCCCCCTCTTTTCCAAGTCTGGATCAAACTGAAGGATTCCTTTGAGGGTCTATGTTACTAGTCCCCCCTTTTCCAAGTCTGGATCAAACTGAAGGATTCCTTTGAGGGTCTATGTTACTAGTCCCCCCTTTTCCAAGTCTGGATCAAACTGAAGGATTCCTTTGAGGGTCTATGTTACTAGTCCCCCCTTTTCCAAGTCTGGATCAAACTGAAGGATTCCTTTGAGGGTCTATGTTACTAGTCCCCCCTTTTCCAAGTCTGGATCAAACTGAAGGATTCCTTTGAGGGTTTATGTTACTAGTCCCCCCTTTTCCAAGTCTTTGAGGGTCTATGTTACTGGAATCATCAAACTGAAGGATTATGTTGAGGGTCTATGTTTACTAGTCCCCCCTTTTCCAAGTCTGGATTAAACTGAAGGATTCCTTTGAGGGTCTATGTTACTAGTCCCCCCTCTTCCAAGTCTGGATCAAACTGAAGGATTCCTTTGAGGGTCTATGTTACTAGTCCCCCCTCTTCCAAGTCTGGATCAAACTGAAGGATTCCTTTGAGGGTCTATGTTACTAGTCCTCCCTCTTCCAAGTCTGGATCAAACTGAAGGATCCCTTTGAGGGTTTCTTATTCATTATTTATACTCAGATGCTGGAATGCCTTGTGAGATGTAATTTTTCGTTATTTGAAGCCCCACCATGGCTCTTGCCAGGGGCCGCAATATAACCCGGTCATAAATATGCGCTGGAACTAGACTTCATTACCAAGCCCTCATTTGGACACCACAGGGGAAAAGATCTCGTGGAAGACCAAGGGAAACCTTACGTAGAACTATCATCAGGGAAGGCTCGCTCATGGGCCACTCAAACATCAAAGACCTACAGCGGATTGCAACGGACCGCCGTGCATGGAGAGTCACGACCTCTGCCCTATGTGCCGCACTCGACACAAGAGGAAAGACTAACTAACTAACTAACTAATAAATATGGTATAATGGCTGAACGCGGTTTTTAGGACCTCTCCGCGGTGATCCTAATCCGCATGGTGGCACTTTGTATCGTCAAGTGTCTATCGCTTGTGTGATGTCCTGGTGGGGTAAAAATCCACTACTTATCATCATCATCATCATCATAATGTCCACTCCAGCCGTTGAGCGGCGTGGGAAGAAACAGTTTGCAAAAATGCAAATAAGTGAGCTGCACCAAAAAACCAATGCACTAAATAAGTGGTATGTTACTTTTTTTTGGGGGGGGGGGGGGCGGGGGGGGGGGGGGTGGTACAGATCACTCCCCCTTGAGTATAGGGCAATATTTCTAAACCCCCCCCCCCCCCAATCCCCCCCCCCCTTTCAATCCCAATATAATAACAAAGGGTTTAAAAAAAGAGACAAAATGTGTTTCTAACCTTTAATTAAATGCATACTTTGTAATATTTGCATTTTTTCCGCCAAAAAAACCCCCTTTGGATTTTCGTCTGAAAAATGGTTTTAAAGAAAATGTAAGTATAACGGATTATTACAAGTACCATTTCCCGATGATAGTTTTTGAGAACGCGTTGTTTATATATGGCCGACAGACCTGGTAACGTTGATAACAACAACACAAACACTAAACAATGTCCTCGCAGTCAGCCATACATGCCTACATGGAGAGACATCGCATCCAGTCTCTGTTTGAGGTATGTCTGTTATTTCTGCTTAATGCTTTTAGTTTTAGACACGTGTATCTCTATCCGTGTTGTTACAATGAGACATTTGGTGAGAACGATTGACGACGACAGCAAGTTCAATCTTGTTTAAAATTATTAATGTTTTTAATTATATATTATAATTATATAGTTTATGTTGAATTATTATAATGAATTAGGAATAATTGGCATCTTATTAGGGGTGTGCTGAAATAAGATCTGTTGGACCAAAAGGCACAGATACTCAAGCCTAGCTGTAAACCACAATACAGCATGCCAACTTTTTTTTTAACGGTGAACATTGACGAATAAGAAGAAGTCAGTCTTGCTCTTGATTGTCAAGATTTTCATCCGGATTCAGTTACTAGAAATAGCTTGATTATTACCCTGTGGGTTCTGGGACACAAATTGCGGGGGGGGGGGGGGATATACCCCACAACACTAACAAGCATGTCGTAAATGTTGACTAATTATGGGTCTTTTCTTAGAAGTCAGTGTACGTCTGCCCACGAGGTGAGGAACCAACAGTCTGCATACAAACAAGCAAGACTTGTAAAATATATGTGCATGTAGAACTCTAGTTCTGGAACAAGCCGTGAGTCAGCAAGTAGAATTTTCCACCATATTTACCACATTATTTACCACTTTATTTATGGCCTGTGAACGTGAAGAAGAAGTTGGATTATTTTTTTTCCAACCAGTTCAGTGCTGGGGTTGACCCCCAACCGGGTACTGGATAATTTTCAGATTTCTCTGGAAATGTTATGATAAGGAATAGTGGTGAGAAAGGAATTAACCAGCCTACCTCTTTCTGCAGAGCTTTAGAATATCTAAAGACATATCGCCTCACATTTACAGCAGCAACCAGTATATATGTATATATATATATATATATATATATATGTGTATATTTGAAAAAAAAAATGCCGGCTGAAATTTAATTTCAGTAGGTAGATAGTGGTACCCCACCAGGACATCACACAAGCGACAAACACCCGGTGACACAATGTGCCACCATGCAGATGAGGATCACCCGTGGAGAGGTCTTAGAACCCCTTTCAGCTGTTAGGCCATATCTATGCCGCAGCTATATTCAGGGCCCCTGGCAAAAGCTAGAGCTGAGCTTCAAAATAACACAAAATTACATTCCACAAGGGGATAACAACATAAACAAATCTAATTTATTCTGTATACTCTGTGCTCATCTTATGTTTATCTTTTGGTTTCTGGGATAAAAAATGCAACATCCACTCTCGCAGGAGCTGATGAACAAGATTCTGCGAGACATGCCAGAAGAACCCCTGGTGTATTTGTTAAGAGCTATTTACAAGAAGGCAGGAATGGAGATTCCTCAGGTATCTATCACAATTATTTTATTGTTAGGAAAAAAAAAAAGTAGTCACATAACAGATAAGTAGAGTGCCCAGCTCAGTCCTCGTTCATTTCATCTCATCTTGATCCTCTTGTACCATCTCATCTTAATCCTCTTGTACCATCTCATCTTGATCCTCTTGTACCATCTCACCTTGATCCTCTTGTACCATGCAGTGTCGAGGTGAAGTATAATTTACGGGAAAGTTCCTGTTTGTGTGCTTCATAAATGGGTATTCTCAGGGACTCAGTAATCTCCTCTGTCCATCATTCACATGGTCAGCCTCTTCTTCACTTGTCGCTTGGTCTATACATCATGGCTTGCTGTGGTATACAGTCTGCTGATATTCATGTAATATGACCAAACCATTTCACCTCTTACCTTCTTATGAAATCCAGAGCTGCTGCTACCCCCATTTTCCTTTGAATTTCATAATTTCTGATGTTATCTCTTTTTGTTAAATTGAGAGGAATCTCATTTCTGATGTTGTAATTGTTCTCTCTTTTTCTGTTAATGTCTAGTTCTGGCATTAGTAACACAGGGTTGGCAAGAACATTATGACACAGAGGGCTCTTTTGGTTTCTGTTGATAGATGTTTGTTTCTTAGTATTGGTGCCATTTGGCCAATGAGTTAGTATGCTTTATTACACCTGTCATCAATCTTATCTTCTTTTTTGCCAGCGGTTGATATTATGCTTTATATTCGTTTTGTTTCTTTGAGCTGTTAAAATAATCCCATGCTGGCTTGCTAGGCCAGTCGCAGGTTAAGGACAGACAAAACTGACCTAGATAAGTCCATCCACGGAGGTGAGCCAGAGCCCTGTTGGCCCATGACCTCGCGGCCATGGTCTTCCTGTCTACATCCCTTGGAGGTGGGTTTGGCCTGTGTGGTCTACCGGTCATCAACAGGCAACTGATTTTCACTTTTTTGCCCCTTGAAAGAGAGACTAGCCGATCCCAACCCTACTGGCTACAGGGCCAGGCACAGCCAACACCTTGTAGACTCAGTCCTCATTACCTTTCCTTATTATCTTAACAGAGTGACTGCGGGAGTTTTAGAGATCCTGCTGCATCATTGCTTGTGCTAGCTTCAAGATTTTGCTGTGACTGATATGTTTTCACTAGTTTTTAAAATAGTAGAGTGAAAGACATTTTGTGTAATTTGGAAACTTTATTCCTAATAGATCCAGAATGGATTGATTTATGTGTCCAAACTTGGTTCCTCCTGTGCATGCGGGTTCTAGGCCCTATTTGAGGGGGGTGGAATGGAAAGGGGGGACGGGGGTGGACGGGGAAGGGAAAGAAACCACTGCCCCCAACAATCATGTTGCCCAAGGCAACTAATTAGGGTTGTTTCCTTGAAAGTCTGAGTGTGTCTGCCTGAGAGGCAAGGATTCAACAGTCTGTACACAAATAAACCAGATCTGTAAAACTGATGTGCATGCACAGCTCAAGATCTGAAACAAGACAAAGTCCAGAAGTAGATGAACAATCAGAAATTTCTGCGAAAGTTTACAACCAGTAAACAAAAAGATGTTCTTTTTGCTTCTAACCATGCTTTCTGCTATGTCAAAGCTTTTTGGTTAATTAGTCTGTGTGTAAATGTGATTTGTTCCCAGGGAATCCGTTATGGCGGGCTTCGTAAAAGTACCTCAGAGTTGTACAAGAGCACCAGCCCTGAGAGAAGGTCAAGGTCAGCTGTAGTCTCAAACAGTGCAGGTTTGGTTTCACCTGATATTTGGTCCTGTTGTTTAGTCTGTACTCATCAACATGGCTGGCCTACTTGGTTGGGAGTCTCTGTCAGTTTTTACAATACCCTTGAGAGAAAGCGGGGGAGACGGGGGGGGGGGAAGAGATGACAGAAAAAGAGGAAAAAAGAGAGAAAGATACAGGAAGAAAGATAGAGAGATATAAATATAGACAATAGAGAGACATAATTATAGACAATAGAGAGACATAATTATAGACAAAGACAGAGACATAAAAACATGAACAGGAGAGACATACAGAGAAGCAGAGATGAAAAAAGAGAAAGAGGAGGCCTGGAGAAAGATAAATAAATTAAGACAGAGAGATAGAGACATACTAACATACAGAAAGACAAAGATAGAGACAGAAAGACAGGTAAAGAGAGAGAAAGAAGGGAGAGAGAAAGGAGAGAGAAAGAGAGAGAGATGTTGGGAGCACATGCCTTGAGCAAGATTTTAGTCATTCAACTGAGCTGCTGTTTGCAAATCTGCAAACCTAGGGCCATTGTATTTCAAAGCACCGGGAACTTCTCAGACAATGTAAATTGTAAACAAAAAAATAGTTTTCCTATGATTCATAATTGCTTTTGGTTTTACGGATCTAATTATTTTTTCTTAGCATAAGGGCTATCTTTTTGTACTGTTGCCTTTAGTAAGCTCATACATTTGTTGGTTTCTTTCTTATTTTAGACATGGTAGCTGCAAGATCGAAGACCTTGTCGCCAACCCGAGCTGCTAAACTGAGGGAAGGAACAAAGAGTATGTAATATCTGTCACATTTCTAGTAGCTTTCAATTTGAAGATTCATCCATTTAAATGGACTGAAAAAAAAAAAAATGTTTCTCTGTAGTTTGCCATCTTAATATCAGTAAAAATGACGAGAGTTTTTATGTATAAAAAAGTTAACCCTCTCAGCCAAAGAAGCACAAAACCTGGCGCTTCCAGTTTGTGCCATTGCTTTGAAAATGTCCCTTTCCCAGCAAAGTGTTGAAACTTATTTACGGGGGACCCCCACTAACAGCGTTGCTTCTGTTTTATTTTCCTGGGCAACTTTTTAGAATAATCGGTAATGAGCATTACTGCTATAAATAGCATTTAGGTGGAGATTCTTTGTGGAGAATGGCTTTATTTATAGAAATTAGGACATCAGAATTTCCACTTAGTTTCAGTGGTAACTGACCCGAAACGGGATCGAGAATGGGTGGCGCTTAACGTTTTTGTTTAGGCCAGACTTTTTTTCAAAAATGACGTTGGCTTCTGGGTCAGCCCAGCCTTGTGTGGGTACCAGGTGCAAGTCCTGGGAAGTAAAGACAGCTGGCATTATGCTGACCACATCAGCCACCAAATGCAGACTGGTCTATAAAATACAGGTCTAGCCCTATAACCCCAATGTGCCTGAACGCCTAGGACAGTGTCCTTCAATATACTATATATATATATATTTTTTTTTAAAGTATCCTGAAGCCATGAGTTGTTGACCCTTAGGCTCGGTATTATGAATACACAACCTTTCGGTCTTAATCCACGATAAATACCCTAAATCTGGGAGAAATGTAGCTTTTCTGCCTACTCCAGGGCGTGAACCCGGACCACAAGGAATTCGTCACCCAGTCACTGCGCAGTCCGGTTTAGCCAACTATGCTAGAGAGATGGGCATATATATATATATATATATATATATATATATATATATATATATATATATATATATATATATATATATATATATATATATATATATATATATATATATATGTATATATATATATATATATATATATATATATATATATATATATATATATACACACACTAGGGCTGTACCGAATATTCGCTTCGTATTCGCTTCTGGGCCGAATAGTGGACCTAATAACTATTCGGTATTTGGCCAGATAGTTGCGGTCGGGCAGAATACGAATAGTGGTTACCTTACACCCGTTTCTGGACTGGTGGAAAATAAACATATCAAGATTTTCCACCTTGGCTCACACTGTCAAGCGTTATCTTTATGCACCACACCACCTACGAGCGTACCGAGTGAACATCTGTTTAGTACAGCTGGAAATATCTTCAGTGTGACAAGAAGCTGCCTTTCTAGGTATTAGTTACCACAGACTGACTGACCGAAGGATGCAAAAAATGAAATGTTTTTAAATGTTTACTATTCTGTACTACATTTTGTGAAGTAAAATTTCAGCGTACATTTGACATTATAGATGTTTTTTTTTTAGATCTATTTTATACACGAAAGTGGAAGAATGGGCCTCAGTTTGAATAGTGGGAAGACAGAAGCAATGGTGGTATCATAGAAAATAATTATTCCTAAATGTGTAATAAAAGTCAATGGTTTAATTTTGGGACAAGTACAGAAATTTAAGTATCTGGGCACATGGATAACTTCAGATGAAAGATGCATTACTGAAAGAAGAAACAGAATAGGACAGGCACAAACTGCATTTTATAAAATGAAGAACATCTTATGCAATATATCCCTGTCATTGAAGGTTAGAAAAAGAATTCTTTCTTGCTACATACATCCAGTTTTAACATATGTCTATAAGTCCTGGACAATCGGTAGGCAGGCCAAACAATTTCTTGAGGTCTCAGAGATGTAATTTTACAGAACAATGCTTAAAATACCTTGGACAGCCAAAAGAAAAGCAACCAAGAGGTTGTGATAGAGGAGGGAGCCCAAAGACAACTACTCACAGATATCAGAAGGAGACAGTCATCATTTTTCGGCCATGTTATAAAATGAGGGAAAATGGAACATTTGGTGACCACTGGTGAGATATGTGGAAGGAGGGATAGTGGAAGACAATGAGAGAAGATTCTTGACAGTCTTGCTGCATGGCATGGAGGTGTGTTAGCACACGAACTAATACATGCTGCAGAAGATCACAGATTGTCGCGTGGCATAATCGCCCATGCCAGTCGGCAAAGCACCTGATGATGATGATTCACTATTCCGCCGAATAGTTGGTCCAGCTATTCGTATTTGGCCGAATAATGAAAATCACTATTCGGTACAGCCCTAATATACACACACACATATACACACAGACATATGTTTATATGTATGTCACAGTCCTTCTCTCCAGTCTGCTGGTATTTCATCAGTCTCCCAGACTCCTCTTTAGCATTTGCACATTAGTTCTGTTGAAGTGTACCAAAAAGCATGACCAACTAGGCCAGTTGCCCGTTTCCCCTCAACGCTATAAAAAAGAAAAGGGCAGTAAAATGGTTTTAACTGCTTAATTAAATTTCCCTGTTTTAAAATAAGATATTTATTTTGCTTTTCTAGTCAGTAAACAAAAGCCGTACTGGAACACAGATACTAAGACAAAGTCATCCTTCGATGAACTCTGGGAAGAGTCTGGAGCAGTCAGGAAGGAGAAGTCTTCAGTTGTGAGAAAATCCAACAGCAGGCAGCCTGTAACATCCAACAGTGCCTGGGCTTCCGTGGGATTGGGGGTAAGTTGTCTGTGTGTGCGTGTGTGTGTGTGTGTGTGTGTGTGTGTGCATACATATGCTGATGATAGATTGTTCACAGCTGTTGCATTACAATGTTGGTGTTGCAATAATGTTACATTGTTCACAGTTGTTGCATTACAATGTTGGTGTTGCAATAATGTTACATTGTTCACAGTTGTTGCATTACAATGTTGGTGTTGCAATAATGTTACACAGTTTGTAACAGTTCCAGTCTAACTGAAGTGTGTGCATGTTTGCTAATGTTACATTGTTCACATTTTGTAACAATTTTAGTGTGGCAATAATGTTTCATTATTCACAGTTTGTAACACTAACAGTGGGTCTAGGTGTGTGTCAAATGTTACACTGTTCACAATCTGTAACAGTTTCAGCAGAAAGAATGTCTATAGTTTCACATAAAACAGTAAAATAAAGGACAGCTTGACTGACTGACTGACTTTCTACCCCACCAGGACATCATACAAGCGATTAACACCCGATGACACAAAGTGCCACCATGTGGGTGAGGATCACTGTGGAGAGGTCCCAGAAACCGCGTTTAGCCATTAAACAATATTTAGGGACAGGTTATATTGCGGCCCCTGGCAAGAGCCAAAGTACGGCTTCAAATAATGAAAAATTGCATCCCAAAATGGGATGACAAGATTTATATATATGGACAGCTGACTGACTTTCTACCCCACCAGGACATCACACAAGCAATAAACACTCGATGACACAAAGTGCCACCATGTGGATGAGGATCACCGTGGAAAAGTCCCAGAAACCGCGTTCAGACAATTGGCCATTTATGGCCTGTCTATATTGCGGCCGCTGGCAAAAGCCAGAGTGGGGCTTCAAATAACAAAAAACTAGATAAAATTAGCACACAGGTAATTATAAGGACAGCTTTCTCGGCCGCTGGTACATCAGGCATTTTGTTTTAAACTCACATTTTTATAGACGAATGAGCACTTATTGGTCGATGTATTGATGAGGTTATCGTCAATGTGGCCACTTTACTTCTCTGGTAATTTCTTATAACAGTAAGAGGAGATAAATACAGAATTTGCTTTTCTAATATTATTTTACATTGATTCCTAGGAGGATGGGGAAGAATATACGAGTCCCGCATACTCAGGCAAGGGAAATAACCAGGGATCAATGAAGCTATCGGAAGCAGAGTTGTTGGCCTTGGAAAGTGTGGCCCGGTCACAACGATCAGAACCAGAACCGGAACTTTCTTCAGCACCAGCAGCCTCTGCCAAGTAAGGAAAAAAGGTTATGACATCTCGTTGTTTACATATGTAACAATGTTTTCTTTATTTTTGATACCTAATCTGAAGGATACATTGCACCTATAATCATGCTCTCAGGGCTGTGATGCCAGTTTGGCAACAAATTCTGAAAATCTTTGCTTTACAGACTTGTGATGTATATAAATCCTCACGGTGTCAAACTGATGCATAAAAGTACAAAGCGGCACTCATATTTCTTTAGACCAATCGGCACTTGGTGGTAATGAGGTCAATATCATGCTGGCCGGCTTTACATCCTGGGTCAACACTGGGCCCAAGGTCAGTTAAGAAAGAACAATTAGCTTCAATAGGGATTTGAACCTAAGACCTTAGGACTGAAAGGCAAGCTAACCACTACACTACTACGGCTGTCCAAGAAACTGTTACTTTAAATAAAAAATTTTTTGGTTCAAGGAGTTGAAAATGAAGCATGAGACAAAAAGTGTTAGAGTGACAATTGAGATAGTGTGCAAATGTTTCAGTTTTGTGTTTCAGGCGCTTCAGTAAAAGTCGCAAAATGGAGTCTGTGAAACACAAACTGGAGCTGGGCCAGCTGCTGTCTGCTTCTGAACATAAATTAACAGACTCCGGAATTGGGCTTGATCTGCTGAAAGATGATGATGATAATGCTGATGCGTTGGAGCTTCTGGGTAAGGAGTAGCCATGTTCTGTCACATATTTTCTGTATGTTGAAGATCTGTGTGTAGGTTTGAGGTCCCATTTGAGAGGGGGAGGAGTGGGAGACTCACTGTCCCCTAACAAGTGTGACGTAAACAAGGGACTAATCGAGATAATTTCCTTCGAATTCAGAGCGCATCTGCCTGAGAGGCAAGAAACTAACAATGCGCATATAAATATGCCAGATCTGTAAAACTGACATGCACAGAAAACTCAAGTTCTGAAGATTAAATTCAGGAAGTGAACGTAGAGCAAAAACTTTCTGCCAGATTAAACAGCCGGTGAACGCAAAGAAGAAGAGTAGGTTGTAGGCATCAGGACTGTTGATATAACAAGAAGAGAGAAGATCAGAAACAGTCAAATCCAAAGAAAAATTGTAAATTAGCAACTCTGGATTTCATTTGAAAACAACAAATGAAATGGGTTAAATGATAAAATGGCCAACAAACAGTATACCACAGCAAGCAATGATGTACAGTCGGGCAGGAAGTGAAGAAGAGGCAGACCACGCGAACGATGGACAAAATCATAGTCCCTGGGAATGCCATTTTACGAAAAGTACAAACAGGAACTTTCCCACAAATTATACTTGACCTTGACACTGCAAGGTACATGAGGATCAAGATGAGAGGAGATGAGAAGTGTCAGTAATCGGTAGACAAGATTTCAGCCTCATTGCAAATAGATCACTCAATAATTGCTTCATTTCTGTGTCAGTTAAAAGGTAAAGTTGGGAGATGTGAACCAGCGTCATTGCACATGGTTATAAACCATAAGTGCTGTGCCACCAGTATGGACAGCTGATAAGAATTGTCCACCTGTGTCGCCATTCGCACATAACTCTGTAGCTACAGCGACGTTCCTCTATTTACCCCAGAGTATCACTCTGGTACCCATTTCCTAGAGGCTGGGTGAACCCCGGGAGCTGAGCACCAACCGTGGGCTGCAGCGAGTCTCAGCCGGATTTGAAAGCGAGCTTCTTATCGACTGCGCTAACGCGGCCCTCGTAAAGTGTCAGTGAAAATCATGCGCATTGTCCTTCACTGTCCCATTTTAAAAAACCTGGTCGACAAACAACTGGTCATGGTGAAATCCAGAAACATGCAAATATAGGCTGACTGTACACAAGCAATATTAATGCATAAGGCACTTTGCCAGTTCAAATGCAGATGGGCCACACTCACTATTTTCTGTCAAAGAATGTGATCATGTTTTAACAGTCCAAGGACTGTTTTTATTGCACAAGATTTTAGTTTGATCTCTCTCCAAAGAAAAGCTGGAGAGAGAAAGAGAGAGAGAGAGAGAGAGAGAGATTTGTAATTTAGATTCCTGGTTGTTGTTGTATGTCTGTTCCTGTAAGGGGGTCAGAAATAAGTACATAATCTTCATACATATGTTTTCCCTTACTGTTTTTGTTTGCAGAAAATGCAGACGACCTGAAGCGAGAAGGTGTCAAACATCTCCCAGAGACTGGATTCAAGCTCAGCCGGGTAACTTCCAACATTTCCACTCTTTTCTACTTCTTTCCCCTGATCCTTTTCCCCACTGCTGTCAAATTTCTGCAAAGCTATCTATCAAAGTATTTTAATTATCTCAAGAGTTTCTCAGTAACTAGTTTTTCAGTGAAAATGTTAAGACTCTTATAGTTGAACACAGGGTTCTTAAATTATATCAAAGAGAGGGCTATTGCTGTTGAGCGAATACTGAAAATATTTTGTTGACAGTTGGAGGAGCACTCAAGACATGAAATACAAGTTACATAATTGTAACAACAAATACCTGAGGAAATTGATGAATATTGTCTTCTTCTGCATTCACACAACCCCCACCCCCGCACCCTCTCTCCCCAATCCCTGGCTTCTGCCTAAACGTTGACCATACCATCCTATGATTTATAAATCTCGCTCTAGATGGCAGACCAACAAGACAAATAACACATACCCCGTTCAACCTTTAGAGAAGTTATAATTAAGGCATCTGTAACAGTTACATCAGCCAGGTGTAATCTGCAGTCCTATGCGGGTAAGGGATGCGTATGAATGGCACAGTGAGATGATGATGATAGTTAGTCTTTCCTCTTGAGCCTAGGGAGGCACATAGGGCAGAGATCATAGATCTCCATGTCTGGTGGTTTGTTGCACCTACTTTAGGTCTTGAATGTTCATAGGCCATGGTTGTGCCTTTTGTGGCAATGTTTCTACACAGGGTCTCTCTCTCGGTCTTACCCGTTTTCTTTTCCCTTCTGGACTCCATAATGAGGGCTTGATGGGGAAGTCTGGTCTTATCCGTTCTGAGTGCATGTCTGATGTAGTTCCACAGGCGCTTTCTTAAAAAATTAGATTCATTGTCTTTCTTGGTCTCTTGTCTTATTTGCATTTGGGATCTGAAATCTGTCCAGTAGAGATTTAGTCTTCTTTTAAGACCCCTGTTCTCAAAACTGTCTAATTTTTTTGTTCTAGAGCTACTTTGTATAGAATCAGATTTATAGCTCTCAGTATTATGATGACAGTGATACTGAAAATTAATTCATACAGTATATAATGACAGTGGTTATGTTTCTGGCACTTGGTGAATATGATTTATCATTATACTTGTAGATCAAGGCTGTTCTGCAAAGTTCACACCGGAGCCAAAATGTTAAAAATGGAGAAAATAATGGGGCAAAGGCACGAGCCCCAGCATAGAAAGGTCACTTATACGATAAAGTTGGCAGTGGTCCGCAGATTTGGTTCTTGGCCACCGGTTAAATAGCCCTGTTGTAGATGATTCTGCTATGATGACATCATGCAGTAGTAGCAGTAGTAGTGGTAGTATTAGTAGTAGTAGCAGTAGTAGTGGTAGTAGCAGTAGTAGTGGTAGTAGCAGTAGTAGTGGTAGTATTAGTAGTAGTAGCAGTAATAGTGGTAGTATTAGTAGTAGTAGCAGTAGTAGTAGTAGTAGCAGTAGTAGTGGTAGTATTAGTAGTAGTAGCAGTAGTAGTATTAGTAGCAGTAGTAGTAGTAATAGTAGTAGCAGTAGTAGTGGTAGTGGTAGTATTAGTAATAGCAGTAGTAGTAGTAGTAGCATTAGTACTAGTAATAGTTGTAGTAGTAGTAGTAGTTATAGTAGTAGTAGTAGCAGTTGTAGTAATAGTTGTAGTTGTAGTAGTAGTTGTGGTAGTTGTAGTAGTAGTAATAGTGATAATGATGGGGTTGGTGGTAGTGGTGGTGGTAGTAGTAGTAGAAGTAGCAGCAGTAGTAGATATAGTAGTGATAGTAGAAGTAGCAGTTGTAGTAACAGCAGCAGCAGTAGTAGAAGTAGTAGTAGTAGTAATAGTATCATTTGTCTGTTACAGATTCTTCGCTTCAGGGGAAATGAGCCGCCTGTAAAGTTGTGTATCAAGTAAGTTGTGTCATTATGTCCTTTTTGTTCAGTTATCTCCTCCTTCACCCATATCTGACTTGGTTGATGTGTCATATGAGAAAGGCCCTCTGGAATTTATCTGCTACATTTACATAATTTTTTTATGAACTATCGGAATAATTTATTAACATCATTGTTCAAATATTTTCGCTTACGTACTGGACACTGCAGACTCAATAACCACTCATATAAATTAGGCATGAGCCAAACAGCTCTCTGCCAGCTTCTTTGTGCTGAACAGACTACAGAACATGTCTTGCAAGACTGTCCTCTCCTGGCGGAGCTGCGGAGAAACATATGGCAACACCCAGTAGAACTGACAACTAAGCTTTGGGGAAACCTAAGAGACCTTGAAAAGACATCCCAGTTTATGACCCACAGTGGATTATGCGCATGACCAGAGATTGCGGAAGGAAGAATTGTTCAAATACATAAATATCTTCTTCTTCCTCGTTGGCCCAAGGGACGTAATTGTGTTGTACCTGTTTATAGCATAGTTGCTATATTTGTGCCTTTTGGCTGACACCTCCAATTTCATTGGACATTTATTCACTGGATTAGCCTTTCCAGTTGGTTTTGTTTGAAATAAATCCACACATGTTATAGAAAGACAGATGGACAGATCTCTTTGCCTTCTTTTTGCTTTGTTTCTTCCCCATATGGGTTTCATGGTCTTATTTTGGGGGGAAAAAAGAACAGACCCACTCCTTCCCTAGCAAGCATGTCATAAAAGTCTACTAATCAGAGGTGTTTCTTTCAAAGTCAGAGTGCGTGTCTCAGACCAGGAAGCATTAATTAGTCTGCATACAAATTATCTAGATTTGTGAAATGGATGTTTGTGCAAAACTCAAGTTCTGGAACAAGACTAAAGTCAAGAAGTATATGAACAACCAGAAATGTCTGCCAGAGTTTAAACCCAGTGAACGGGAAGAAGAAACAGAAAACTTCAGAGATCCTTGGTAGTTTTTATCCTTAAGATATTGTCCTTAGGTGATGCATGCATGTGTTTTGGGAAACAAACAAGCAGAGTGCTGCACTATTTGGTGGCAAATTGATGCACAGGAAGCTTGATATTGTCAAGGTCTTTTGTCCCCATGTGGGTTCTGGGGTCCCATTATGGAGAAAACAAGAATAAACCCACTGCCTCCCCAACAAGTAAGTCATAAGAGTTGACTAACTAGGGGCTTCCTTCATAGTCGGAGTGCATCTGCTTGAGAGGCAAGGAACTAACAATCTGCATACAGATAAGTCAGATCTGTTAAATGGATGTGCACAGAACAGTCAGGTTCTGGAACATGACTAAAGTCCAGAAGTGGACAAACACCCAGAACCTTCCGCTGGAGTTTACAGCTGGTGAACGTGAAGAAGAAGAAGAAGAAGACCTTTTAGAAGCAGGTGAACAGTGCAGAGGTACAGACTTAACTTATTAGTATCCAAACCCGTTCACATTACATATACGCTCCCTGCTTGGAGACAGCAGCATCTGCCTGAATTGATAGAAAATATTCCTGGTATTGAGAAAAAGAACACTCAGAATGAAACAGAAAGAAGGAAAATTACATTATTTATTTTGAAATTACTAAAGTACTGCAGACATTCATTATGATTTATGTTGTTATGAAATTACTAAAGTATCTGCAGACATTCATTTTATTATTATTTCGAAATTACTAAAGTACTGCAGACATTCATTATGATTATTATTGAAATTACTAAAGTACTGCAGACATTCATTAGATTGAAATATTATTGAAATTACTAAAGTACTGCAGACATTTATATTATTATTTATTATTGCAAATTCATTACTTGAAATTATTAAAGTACTGCAGACATTCATTATGATTATTATTGAAATTATTAAAGTACTGCAGACATTCATTATGATTATTATTGAAATTATTAAAGTACTGCAGACATTCATTATGATTATTATTTAAATTACTAAAGTACTGCAGACATTTATTATGATTATTATTGAAATTACTAAAGTACTGCAGACATTCATTATTTATTGAAATTACTAAAGTACTGCAGACATTCATTATTATGAAATTATTATTGAAATTACTAAAATACTGTGCAGACATTCATTATGATTATTATTTAAATTACTAAAGTACTGCAGACATTTATTATGATTATTATTTAAATTACTAAAGTACTGCAGACATTCATTAGATTATTATTGAAATTACTAAAATACTGCAAACATTCATTATGCATTATTATTGAAATTACAAAAGTACTGCAAACATTCATTATGATTATTATTGAAATTTCTAAAGGACTGCCAACATTCATTATGATTATTATTAAAATGATTAAAGCACTGCAAACATTCATTAGAATTATTATTGAAATTACTAAAGTACTGCAGACATTCATTATGATTATTATTGAAATTACTAAAGTACTGCAGACATTCATTATGATTATTATTGAAATTACTAAAGTACTGCAGACATTCATTATGATTATTATTGAAATTACTAAAGTACTGCAAACATTCATTATACATTATTTTTGAAATTACAAAAGTACTGCAGACATTCATTATGATTATTATTGAAATTACTAAAGTACTGCAGACATTCATTATGATTATTATTGAAATTACTAAAGTACTGCAGACATTCATTATGATTATTATTGAAATTACTAAAGTACTGCAGACATTCATTATGATTATTATTGAAATTACTAAAGTACTGCAGACATTCATTATTGAAATTATTGAAATTACTAAAGTACTGCAGACATTCATTATGATTATTATTGAAATTACTAAAGTGCTGCAGACATTCATTATGATTTATTATTGAAATTACTAAAGTACTGCAGACATTCATTAAATTATTGAAATTACTAAAGTACTGCAGACATTCATTATGATTATTATTGAAATTACTAAAGTGCTGCAGACATTCATTATATTTATTGAAATTACTAAAGTACTGCAGACATTCATTAGAATTATTATTGAAATTACTAAAGTACTGCAGACATTCATTAGAATTATTATTGAAATTACTAAAGTACTGCAGACATTCATTATGATTATTATTGAAATTACTAAAGTACTGCAGACATTCATTATGATTATTATGATTATTATTGAAATTACATAAAGTATTGCAATTATAATTATGCAGACATTCATTAGATTATTATTGAAATTACTAAAGTACTGCAGACATTCATTATGATTATTATTGAAATTACTAAAGTACTGCAGACATTCATTATGATTATTATTATGCAGACAAATTACTAAAGTACTGCAGACATTCATTCATTATTATTGAAATTAAAGTTGCAGACATTCATTATGAAATTGAAATTACTAAAGTACTGCAGACATTCATTAGAATTATTATTGAAATTACTAAAGTACTGCAGACATTCATTATGATTTATTATTGAAATTACTAAAGTACTGCAGACATTCATTATGAATTATTATTGAAATTACTAAAGTACTGCAGACATTCATTATGATTATTATTGAAATTACTAAAGTACTGCAGACATTCATTAGAATTATTATTGAAATTACTAAAGTACTGCAGACATTCATTATGATTATTATTGAAATTACTAAAGTACTGCATTCACATTCATTATTGAAATTATTATTCATTAGAAAATTACTAAAGTACTGCAGACATTCATTATGATTATTATTGAAATTACTAAAGTACTGCAGACATTCATTATGATTATTATTGAAATTACTAAAGTGCTGCAGACATTCATTATGATTATTATTGAAATTACTAAAGTACTGCAGACATTCATTATGATTATTATTGAAATTACTAAAGTACTGCAGACATTCATTTATTGATTGCATTCATTGAATTATTATTGAAATTACTAAAGTATTGCAGACATTCATTATGATTATTATTGAAATTACTAAAGTACTGCAGACATTCATTATTATTGATTATTATTGAATTATTGAAATTACTAAAGTACTGCAGACATTCATTCATTTATTGATTAAAGTTATTGAATTATTGAAATTACTAAAGTACTGCAGACATTCATTATGCATTTGAAATTACTAAAGTACTGCAGACATTATTATTATTGAAATTACTAAAGTACTGCAGACATTCATTATGATTATTATTGAAATTACTAAAGTGCTGCAGACATTCATTAGAATTATTATTGAAATTACTAAAGTACTGCAGACATTCATTAGAATTATTATTGAAATTACTAAAGTGCTGCAGACATTCATTAGTGATTATTATTGAAAAATTACTAAAGTACTGCAGACATTCATTAGAAATTACTAAAGTACTGCAGACATTCATTATGATTATTATTGAAATTACTAAAGTGCTGCAGACATTCATTATGATTATTATTGAAATTACTAAAGTGCTGCAGACATTCATTATGAATTATTATTGAAATTACTAAAGTACTGCAGACATTCATTAGAATTATTATTGAAATTACTAAAGTGCAGACATGCATTAGACATTCAAATTACTAAAGTACTGCAGACATTATTATTGATTATTATTGAAATTACTAAAGTACTGCAGACATTCATTATGATTATTATTGAAATTACTAAAGTGCTGCAGACATTCATTATGAATTATTATTGAAATTACTAAAGTACTGCAGACATTCATTGTGCATTATTATTGAAATTACTAAAGTGCTGCAGACATTCATTATGATTATTATTGAAATTACTAAAGTGCTGCAGACATTCATTATGATTATTATTGATTAAAGTTGCAGAAATTACTAAAGTGCTGCAGACATTCATTATTATTGATTATTAAAGTACTGAACATTACTAAAACGTTAAAGTACTGCAGACATTCATTATGATTATTATTGAAATTACTAAAGTACTGCAGACATTCATTATGATTATTATTGAAATTACTAAAGTACTGCAGACATTCATTAGAATTATTATTGAAATTACTAAAGTACTGCAGACATTCATTATGATTATTATTGAAATTACTAAAGTGCTGCAGACATTCATTGTGCATTATTATTGAAATTACTAAAGTGCTGCAGACATTCATTAGAATTATTATTGAAATTATTGAAATTATTATTGAAATTACTAAAGTGCTGCAGACATTCATTAGCATTATTATTGAAATTATTATTGAAATTACTAAAGTGCTGCAGACATTCATTAGAATTATTATTGAAATTACTAAAGTACTGCAGACATTCATTATGATTATTATTGAAATTACTAAAGTACTGCAGACATTCATTATGATTGATTACTAAAGTACTGAAATTACTTATTAAAGTACTGCAGAGACATTCATTAGAATTATTATTGAAATTACTAAAGTACTGCAGACATTCATTATGAATTATTATTGAAATTACTAAATTGAAATTACTAAAGGTACAGACATTCATTAGATTATTATTGAAATTACTAAAGTGCTGCAGACATTCATTGTGCATTATTATTGAAATTACTAAAGTACTGCAGACATTCATTAGAATTATTATTGAAATTACTAAAGTACTGCAGACATTCATTGTGCATTATTATTGAAATTACTAAAGTGCTGCAGACATTCATTGTGCATTATTATTGAAATTACTAAAGTACTGCAGACATTCATTAGAATTATTATTGAAATTACTAAAGTACTGCAGACATTCATTAGAATTATTATTGAAATTACTAAAGTACTGCAGACATTCATTAGAATTATTATTGAAATTACTAAAGTACTGCAGACATTCATTAGAATTATTATTGAAATTACTAAAGTACTGCAGACATTCATTGTGCATTATTATTGAAATTACTAAAGTACTGCAGACATTCATTGTGCATTATTATTGAAATTACTAAAGTACTGCAGACATTCATTAGAATTATTATTGAAATTATTGAGACATTCATTAGAATTATTATTGAAATTACTAAAGTACTGCAGACATTCATTAGAATTATTATTGAAATTACTAAAGTACTGCAGACATTCATTATGATTATTATTGAAATTACTAAAGTACTGCAGACATTCATTGTGCATTATTATTGAAATTACTAAAGTACTGCAGACATTCATTGTGAAATATAAATTGAACATTACTAATTATTGAAATTACTGCTGCAGACATTCATTATGATTATTATTGAAATTACTAAAGTACTGCAGACATTCATTATTGAAATTATTATTGAAATTACTACTTAAGACATTCATTATTATTGAAATTACTAAAGTGCTGCAGACATTCATTAGAATTATTATTGAAATTACTAAAGTGCTGCAGACATTCATTGTGCATTATTATTGAAATTACTAAAGTGCTGCAGACATTCATTATGATTATTATTGAAATTACTAAAGTGCTGCAGACATTCATTATGATTATTATTGAAATTACTAAAGTGCTGCAGACATTCATTGTAATGGAATGACAATTTCAAGAGATGGACAACAGCAGTCTGAGAGAATATACAAGACAAGAAACAGAATTTGTTGAAGAATCATTGCAGCCAACCGTTATTGTGAAGATGGCAACTGATTTTCCAGTTTCATTGATGTAATGTTCCACAGATTGTGTTAAGAATGTAATCAAACATAATCTATGAATAATTTCTTCACCAGAAAATGTCGACAGATATGACACCTCAGAGACAGACAGGCTGTCATCAGGTAGGTTGAAAATAAGTGTTCACCAACCTGGAAAAAAAACCTGCTACTGAAAATATTCTGCTAAAGTGCATGCATGGTCAAAAAAAAATAAAAAAATACCTAGTTTCAAGAAATGAAATTTATTAACATTTTATTCAACTGGAATATTAAATAATGTCTTCAGTATGATTTTCATAATTTGCAATGGAAAGGTTGATGCACTTTGCAAAGGTTCGTGGGAACTTGATGTAGTAAACTTGTTGTAATAAATCCACATTGCCGTCAATGTTAGCACAAACGCTTCTCATGTCCTATTTGTCCAGACTTTAGAAACACCCTGATGACTCATCAAACAGCAGAGAATGGAGAGTGAGAAGCAACAGTGAAACGAATAATCTGTTTACACAGTCAATTACTGGCATCATGACGGCTAATATACCACGATGGTTGGGGTATATAGAAAGAATTTAAGATAACAGAAAGATAAAATCTGCCTACACAGAAGAGTTGAATGGGAGCAGACCAAAAGACAGACCAAGAAGATGTTGCAATGACGTTTTTAGCATCTTTTTGGTGATGTCATATACTTGGGTTTTTCAAATTTGTTCTGCATATAAAGTGTGGTGAGACTTTGCCTACACCCTATATTAACCCTTTGTATCTGAAATATTTGTTTGAATACTTCTGTCTCATAGTATTGAAACCCCTCATACCTGAGTATTTACTGCTTTTAACCCCTTGCAACAGACAGAGTTAAATTAACAGCGTCTTGGAACTGAACGAGCCTAAACAAAAACAAGTCCAATTCAATGTGGATTCAAACCCAACACTTTTTGGGCCAGTATTCAAGCATATAGCATGCACAGCAGGAGTTATACATACACCTGGATGACTGCTAGCACTACAGAGTTGTACCCTGTATTAGGATCCTGTATGGAAGATGACCGAGTTTGTGTAGCAATATCTGTGAGCTATGGACGTAATTCCTGGCCATATACCAGACCAGAATCTCATCCCTTTCTTTCCGTCATATCTTGTATCCATATAATCCTTTATTTTATCTTACCTTCCCTCACCTTTTCACCTTCCTTCCTCTCTTCCTTCCTCCCTCCTTCCTCTGTTTTTCTTCCTTTTTTCCTCTCTTCCTCCTTGTCTTCTATCTTTCATTCATTTCCCCCTCTCCCATTCTATCTTGATCTGTCTCTTCCTGTTTTCCTACCTCTCTTTCTATTGTCTTTTCTGTTTCCCCCCTTGTCTCTTTTCCCCTTTCCCTCTCCATTCCTATCTTTCTTCCATCTTTCCTGGTGGATATTTTAAAAAACCAAATGCAGCTTATTTAAAACTGATGTTTTCCTGAATGTTTCTGCGTGTGCAATCTGCAGATTTGGATGAGGACGAGGAGATTGAGAGTGTATCTCAAGTCACAGGACCAGTAAGTTTGTGGTTGTCCAATGTCCCCAAGTTTAACTCATTCAGTAAAACAAACACACTATGTTTTTATCAGTTATTTCTAATATTATATGGCTCTTAACTCTCTGTAATGCCTCGTTGTATTACATTAACTCTTATATTCCATTTGTTACTTTAATCATAAATGTCTCATAATGTTATTTTCTTAAATACTTTACATTATAATATTTGTTAGTTTATAGGAACAGCTGTACAGAAAAGAACAAGCAAACCTGGGCCTAACAGTGCTAAAATGTCCCTGTTTGTGCTAAAATCCCCTGTCAGACAGATTTTGAAAAAAATATTTGGTTTGGATTTCTGGGGTAATCAAACAAAACAAGAAAATATCTGGGAAGTCAAGATGGCTGGCATGATATTGACCAGATAACTCACTGAGTGCTGATTGGTTTATAAATATAAAGGTTAAAAGGTTAAATCTTTTAATCACAGGCAGATGTCATGTAACTTCTACCCAGTAATTAATTTGGTCCTACGGAGTTCAGCCTATACCCTTTAAGAAAAGTTAAACTAGTCAAACCTAGACAGTAAACAATAATAGAACATTCTCCTATCAAGTTAAATTAGTAATCTAGACAATAAACAATGATAGAACATTCTTCTTTCATATATCTTATCTTATATTATATATTTGCTTTGGAATGATCCAGAAATGCATGGTGACTTGTTTGGGGCTGAAAGGGTTAAAGGTTAAAAATCAAGACGATCAACTTCATTGCACGGGGTTTATATTCCATATGGCTCATTCTCTATCTGCAGAACAGCTAGCCGGCTGCCGGGAGTGTTGCACAAAGCGCAAACACTGTAGCTTCCAGTGACGATCCCCAGGGGTCTGCATACAAATGTGAATGAGAACCAAATGATGCAGCCATGAAACGAACCCTTAACCTTCATAGTGTGAGGCAGTTGGCTTAACCACTGTGCCACGGAGAACCCCAATTTATACAAATCTAGACCAGCACCGTATATGTGTGAGATGAGATGTGTAAGAAATGCTGCTGGAAAGACAAGAAGAGACAAAGTTGCCAATGAAGAACTAAGAGCAATAGTAGGCACACAGCCCGGCTCTCTAGCGTAGTTGGCTAAACCGGGTTGCGCGGTGACCGGGTGATGAACTCCTTGTGGTCCGTATTCACTCCCTGGGGTAGGCAGAAAAGCCACATTTCCCCAGATTTACGGTATTTACAATGGATTTAAGGCTGAAAGGTTACGATATCCATAATACCGAGCCTAAGGGTTAACAACTCATGGCTTCTGGATACTAAAAAAAAAAAAATAGTAGGCACATTACTGGTGAAGGATTTCAAAGAGCATGAAATAATCAAATGATTTGATCATCTGGTCAGGTTGGAACAAAATCAGCCAACAGCTTGAGTGCACTACATGAGAACAACAGGCTACAAGTCAAGAGGCCGACCAATAAAGAGATACGCAGAGGGGGTTAAAGACACAATAAACGCAATATGACATTAACACAAACTATGCAACTAGCAAAAGTAATTAAACTACACATAACTCCTTTCTGTGATTACGACATAAAAAGTAGGATAAAAGAAGATATTTAATTATATCTGTCTTTTTAATTTTTTATTTCTAGTCAGAATACACCTGTTTTCCTATCAGCTGAAACTTATTTTCTATCTCATTCTTAGTAATAACCATTTTGTATCTCATTATGTGGATGCTTATGCTGCAGTTATGTTGGCTTGTTTCCCTAGAGACAACCCGTATGGAATGTTCCAGATACAGAGAGTGAGTACTGAAGTGCCCTGTTCATGTTTTAGCTTTCTGATTTAGTCAAGTAGTTAGATATAGCCAGTGTTCAAGTCTTTTGAAACCAGTCGGAAGCTTATTCAACTCCTGGGGATTGTAAATGAAATATTCAGCATTTTTTAAATTTCTATTTCTGATTTTTGTGTTCACAGAAGAATAATAAGTTAGTTGCAGTCATTAACATAAATTTCCACTTTCCCATTAAGTGTCATGGGGATCGACAGTTTGTGATCCATTGCTTACTGTGTAGCAATGGTTTTTTTTCATTCTGTGTGGATGGATATTGCTTTGCTCACTCATCTCATTCCTTTTTTGTCAATGTTAGTTTCAGTAGTGTGTGAAAAAAAAGTACAGAAAAATCTAAGTTTATTAATTATAAAAGCACCAGTATGGAGCCACTGATTCAAAGATGGCTGCCTGCCAAGACAGTAGCAGTAAAAAAGTTAGTTATATCCCTTTACATGATGTTCCATAACCAATGCCAGCATTTCTTTGCTGTTTGTGATTTCCCCAGGCAATTTCACATTCATAAGTTTGCGACTGCTTTTTAAACAGTCGGCCCACAGTACCACTTTTGATACCAGTGCAAAGTGATCTGCTGTCAAATCGTGCAATCTTGTATTGAACCTGGCACCACTGAATTACGAAGCATGTTTGAGATGCCTGGGCCACAGATGCCAACCAAGATAATGATTCAATCGCCATTCAATCTCCAGAATAGGCAGGATTATTCCCCCCCCCCTCCCCACTTTCTCCCCCCTAAAAAACTACGATTCTAGGCTCAGCCTAGCCTCATAAAAACAAAGTGGGTTCGGCCTACTGGCTGTTTTCATTATACATTTTAGCCTACTAACTGGGAGCTTCCTTTGAAGTTGGGGTGTATCTGCCTGAGAGGCAAGGAACCAACAGTCTGCATACAAATGAGTCAGATCTGTAAAATTGATGCACATGCAACACTCAGGTTCTTGAACAGGACTGGAGTCCAGAAGTGGACAATCAACCAGGACTTTCCACTAGAGTTTACAGCTGGTGAACAGGAAGAAGAAGAAGAAGATCACTCATCACACTGTCGCACATGATATTATTCCTAAAACAGATTCCCATGTAATATTCATTGTTCCTTTACTTCAGATCTCCCAGGTGATGCCATCCCACTGCATCCATCATACTCATCCATCAGACCACAGAGATCTAACATCCAGCACAAAGGCTTCATGGAAAAGTAAGCTTTGAATTATAACCCGAATGTTTCTGGTGTGGGTTTCAAGGCCCCATTGTGAGCTGGGATGAGTGTGGGGGGAGGGGGGTGGGGGGAATAGATCCACTGTCCCCACTAACAAGTATGTTGTAAACACAAACTAATATGGAATGTTTCCTTTGAAGTCAGATTGCATCCACCTGAGAGGTGGGAAACAGCCAGTCTGCCTACAAATAAGCTAGATCTGCAAATGGGTTTCACTCGAAATTCAAGTTCTGAGACAAAACTAAAGTCCAGAAGTGGATGAACAAGCAGAACTTTCCACTGAAGTATACAGCTGGTCAATGCAAAGAAGAAGAAGAACTTGTATGTCTCATGCATAGGGTTTAGGTTGTATGAATTATAAAAAAGGCACGCATTTATTGGAGCTAGGTTGATTGAAACTTCTCATCTTCTCATCCGGGTATTAGAATAGTTTCTCCATAGAGACTGCTGTGCTGCAGAGCTCTCCCTCCCAGTGGCACCGGAACATGGGGGCTTAGACTCTTGACCCCCACAATTTTTGGAGGCCTTGCTGAGAAATTCTCTTAAAAAAAAATTTGTTATATTTTTGCTACTATTTAAAATATAAATAATTACAAGATTTAACTGCCTGGATTCGCCCGGGATAATCAAAGGCAGTTTTATTCTCCGGTCCTCTGCCTCATTTTGGTCACCACCGCTGCTGTATATGTGGTAGACACTCCACAGAGAAGTGAGCACAACATGAGCCTACCATCTTTATGTTTCTCTTCAGCACTCTCATTTCCACATCAGTTTCCCATTTCAGTGCCTGTTTGGTAATTCTCTGTTGATCTCTTCTCAGAATTTTCTGTAGCAAATAATTATTTTACAGGGTGTGGGAGCTGGCCACTGAGTCTAGGTCCGAGGTGAAGTGGTAGGAGTCACCTAGACTAGTTCATCCCATAGTTAATGCTACCACCAACTGAGTCCAGTGACTCGGGCCGTGACTCTGGGTTACAGTTCTGCATGTTGGCAGTCCCCCAAATCTGGCCAATAAAGCAACCACCTCCTGTAATGCCCCTACATTACAGTCTAAGTTTCAAGGGAGTAACAGTGAAAATTAATTTAAAAATAGAGATATTAAAAAAAAAAAATATTTAACTGATAAAACTCCAGCTAAATTCCCTTTTAGCGATTGTTGCATTAATACAAGAAATACACATAAACCTGGCCGCCAACATGGCTGTTAAATTAAACATTGTAGCCATAATGGCGACTGAAAATTTAACCCGTCTAGTGGTCGTGGTTTGGGAGTTGTTATCAGTTGACCCATTGTGAGGTGCAATTTTTCGTTATTTGAAGCCCTACTCTGGTTCTTGCCAGGGGCCGCAACATAGTCCGGCCCTAAATATCACCTAATGGCTAAACGCGGTTTCTGGGACCTCTCCACGGTGATCCTCATCCTCATGGTGGCACTTTGTTTCATCTGGTGTTTATCACTTGTGTGATGTCCTGGTGGAGTGAAATGTACTACTACTACACACGCACTACAGGCAGGCATTTTGTGCTTTATAATATAAATGTTTACTTGCCATTCAGCACATAATTATCATTATTATATTTGATGGCCCCAATATTTTTTGTGTTATAGGCATTACTCTGGCTGTCCTCGGAGGCCCTAATAGAACCTAACGGTTGAACAGTGTTTCTGGGACTTGTGCCCAGGTGTGCCATCCGAATGGTGGCACTTTGTGTCATTGATTGTTTATCGCTTGTTGTGCGGTTCGGGGGGAGGGGTGTACATTACTCATTATTAGTAGTATTATTACCCTCCTAAACTAGAATTATGCCTCTTGAACACACGTCCTCGCCCCCATTTTCTAAACCAAGGAAGTTTATAAAAATTGGATCCGGGAAGAGGGGGGGGGGGGGGGGGTGGTGTTGCTCGATTTAATTTTGTCTGTGTGTGTGTGCATGCATGTGTAAAAGAATATGTCCTATAATACTGTCTTTTGTACATTCCATTTAGTATAGAATACTGGTGTAACTTGCCCAGGGAATCAACACTATACTCAAATACTAAGCAAAATTTACGCATCTAAACAGACTTAATAGAAATGGACGTCTACCGAGATACCACTGCAGTTTTCATTTAACTCATTCTATCTGAAAGAATTGCTTCTTTACACTAATAATGGATGCATCTAAAGTAGCTGAGACAATAACCCTGTCAAGCACACTAAGATGATGTAATACCTAGAATAAAATTGGTTAATGTAACATTTGGATGAGATGCAAGAGGATAAGTGTATTATGGTTTGGGTTTTTACACAACGGATCAACATCATGGCACACGGGTAGTAACCCAAAAGTGCTCAATTATCCTAACTCAAGTCTGAGTCCGAAGAAGCTCAGCACAGTGCACAGGCTCTGTAGCACCAGCGAGGATTCTGTGTATTATGAAGTGTATAATGTAATGAGTAATTATTATATGTATTACATAGTACAGGAGTTGTGAAGAGGTATGACCGTCCACACTAGTCAATAAAGAAGAATGGAGACAGCAGATATAATCAGTTCTGTATCAACTGGGTTAGTGGATAATGATGAATCAAACTTGATTGTGTGATGTGGTTGAAAACCAAGGTGAAGAAGGTCTACTCCGCCTCTGAGGCCAAGATAGGAGACATTATAGCCAGCTCCTCATGGGAACAGCCAGTAGAGGAACCTTGGAGTGGCTGCTGAACTGCAGGACTAATCATGCATGGGAATGCCCAGTGTGTAGTGACGTCGATTGTGGAACATAACAAAGCTTTGATGATGCAATCTTTATTTGCTTACTAACATTGTCTTGTATGTCTGCACCAAGGTTTTTGAATGCCAGAAGCCCAACAAATTTTGTGGAGCAGTCGGTGGACAGTGCTGATACGCTGGCAGCCAGTGCAAGAACGTGGACACTTGGAGAGAAAGTCACTACTTTCAGTGTAAGAGTTTGCAAGTTTTGTTCGTTTGTTTAGTCTATTGTTATGTCATGTGCTTTCTCACATTATGTATCTTCTTCTTCTTCATGTTTTCAGGCTGTAAACTACGGCAGAAAGTTCTGGTTGTTTATCCACTTCTGGACTCTAGTCCTGTTCCAGAACCTGAGTGTTGCATGCTCATCTATTTCACAGGCCTGATTCATTTGTATGCAGACTGTTAGTTCCAGTTCCTTGTCTCTCAGGCAGATGTACTCCAACTTTTAATGAAGATCCCAATTAGTTAACTCTCATGACATGCTTTTGGAAAGGCAGTGGGTCTATTTTCGTTTCCCTCACAATGAGGCCCAGGAACCAACACGGGGAGACAGCATATTTAATTTTGTTGCTTTGTGTGTGTGTGTGGATAAACAGAAAGGTTCTGCTGTAGTGACAGGAGACTATGGACCAAGAAGACATCCCACATCAAGGAGAATTAGCTCATAAACAGCATCATCTCCCGATAGCTGAGGAATCTTGGCCATGTTAAACATCGCCGCAGCCTGAAGATGGAGGCAGCAGTTTTGGGAAAATGAGTCACATGAAGAGGCACTTGCTATGAAAGGACATAAGGCTGGAGAAAGAGAGACTTTTAGGTGTACCATGATGAGAGTGATGTTCTGTGAAGGACCTGTTGATTGATAATGATGATGAGTGACAGCTTTTATTCTTTTGTGGTGTTAGCTGAAGAAGACTGAGAACTTATGGGCTTATCTTGTGTGCAGTGGTGTCAGCTGAAGAAGACTGAGAGATTGTGGGCTTATCTAGTGTACAGTGGTGTTAGCTGATGAAGACTGAGAACTTGTGGGCTTGTCTTGTGTACAGTGGTGTTAGCTGATGAAGACTTAGAACTTGTGGGCTTGTCTTGTGTACAGTGGTGTTAGCTGATGAAGACTTAGAACTTGTGGGCTTGTCTTGTGTACAGTGGTGTTAGCTGATGAAGACTTAGAACTTGTGGGCTTGTCTTGTGTACAGTGGTGTTAGCTGAAGAAGACTGAGAGATTGTGGGCTTATCTAGTGTTCAGTGGTGTTAGCTGAAGAAGACTGAGAGATTGTGGGCTTATCTAGTGTTCAGTGGTGTTAGCTGAAGAAGACTGAGAGATTGTGGACTTATCTTGTGTTCAGTGGTGTTAGCTGAAGAAGACTGAGAGATTGTGGACTTATCTTGTGTTCAGTGGTGTTAGCTGAAGAAGACTGAGAGATTGTGGACTTATCTAGTGTGCAGTGCTGTTTAGTAACTTGCTTGGAGTATACACTGCTGCTCAAGGCACCATTTTGATTCATGTTTTTGATCTTCAGTAATAAGATCTTGCAAAAGATACTCGTGCCAGTTAGGACACACATTGACAAAACTTAATAACAGTATGACTAGAACATTCTTGCACTGGTACCCACAGGGTTCATAACAGCAAGAGAGTTAGAGGCTGAAGTGCATGTGATGTTGCAAAAATAAAAAAAAAGTTTCACTGTTTGTATGTTGGCTGATGACTTATGATTGATCAGTCAGTTGATCAAGTTGTCCCCTCAAGGTTGCTACCTAAAGGTTTACCAAACCACTCTGAGATTTAAAAAAAATTAATCTCAATCTGGATGGCAGACCAACACAACAGATCCCACAAACTTCATTCAGCCTCCAAAGAAGTTATAATTAGAGCACCTGAAATGGTTTCACTAGCCATGCTTGACCTGCATTCCTATGGAGATAAGGACCAGTGTCAGGGCTTAGGCTCCACTGGGGAGATGAGATGAGATGCTCCACTGGGGAGATGCTCTACTGTGGAGATGTTCCTCTGTGGAGATGTTCCTCTGTGGAGATGTTCCTCTGTGGAGATGTTCCACCGGGGAGATGTTCCACTGGGGAGATGTTCCTCTGTGGAGATGCTCCACTTACAGGGAGATGTTCCATGGGGAGATGTTCCACTGGGGAGATGTTTCACTGGGGAGATGTTCCACTGGGTAGATTAGATGTTTCACTGGGGAGATGCTCCACTGGGGAGATGTTACACTGTGGAGATGCTCCACTGGGGAGATGTTCCACTGGGGAGATGCTCCACTGGGAAGATGTTTCACTGGGGAGATGCTCCACTGGAGAGATGTTCCTTTGTGGAGATGCTCCACCGGGGAGATGTTCCACTGGGGAGATGCTCCACTGGGGAGATGTTCCACTGGGGAGATGCTCCACTGGGGAGATGTTTCACTGGGGAGATGCTCCACTGGGGAGATGTTCCTTTGTGGAGATGCTCCACTGGGGAGATGTTCCACTGGGGAGATGCTCCGCTGGGGAGATGTTCCACTGGGGAGATGCTCTACTGTGGAGATGTTCCTCTGTGGAGATGTTCCTCTGTGGAGATGTTCCACTGGGGAGATGTTCCACTGGGGAGATGTTCCTCTGTGGAGATGCTCCACTGTGGAGATGCTCCACTGTGGAGATGCTCCACTGGGGAGATGTTTCATGGGGAGATGTTCCACTGGGGAGATGCTCCACTGGGGAGATGTTCCACTGGGGAGATGCTCCACTGGGGAGATGTTCCACTGGGGAGATGTTCCATTGGGGAGATGTTCCTTTGTGGAGATGCTCCACTGGGGAGATGTTTCCACTGGGGAGATGCTCCACTGGGGAGATGTTCCACTGGGGAGATGCTCTACTGTGGAGATGTTCCTCTGTGGAGATGTTCCTCTGTGGAGATGTTCCACTGTGGAGATGTTCCACTGGGGAGATGTTCCACTGTGGAGATGTTCCACTGTGGAGTTTTCCTCTGTGGAGATGTTCCTCTGTGGAGATGTTCCTCTGTGGAGATGTTCCACTGGGGAGATGTTCCACTGGGGAGGAAAGGGTAAGAGACAAAGAAGAAAAGGGAAAAAATAGATCCTGCTTCTTCCTGGGTACCTGAAGTTCTTAATCTGACTTCACAAGGCTTATGTAATTTTTAAAAAATGATGAATATCTGATGAATATTGGATAAGCATCTCATGAATAATTCACCAGTGTCTGGAAAAAAATTGATAAATACCTCTGAGGAATTCTAGATGCATTTCTTATTATTAACTTGTGGATGGATAAAAAATAAATAAAACAGAGATGTCTTGAAAGAAATTAATTCAGAAAGAAAACTAGTAATCTAGATCAGAAGAGACAATCTGCACTGTATGGGCATTTCATGAAAAAGCATTGTTCCCCTTTTAGCATTCACAGGTTGTACATTTCAGTAGAAAGTTCTGGTTGTTTGTCCACTTCTGGACTATGGTCTTGATTCAGAATGTAAGTTTTGTGTATACATCCATTTGACAGGTCTGGCTTATTTGTACATCCTCTCGGGCACACAAGCACATTAATTTTGAAGGAAAAACCCCTTGTCAGTCAACTTGAACATGTTTTTGTTGGGTGGGGGGGGGGGGGGGGGGGGGGGGTCTGGGTTCTTTGTTCACCCAGAAGGGTGCCTGGAACCCACACGGGTTTCATGAGAAGGTAAAACTGGAGTTCATCATATCAACTGAAAAGTTGGAGGAAAAGAGATGCAGAGGAAGACCAAAAGAGGTGATGTTACGTAATTTAGTTGTATGACTTGGAGGAGTATCTATATCATAAAACAATTGAGGCGTCTGGGGAAAATGGAGTATGTGGCAAGCATAGAGTCCTATGTAATGCAGGAGACAACTCGTGTAGTCAGTTGCTGTGCTTGTTGAATAAAATTATTATTATTTTTAATTTTCGTAAATGTTGATCATTTCTGTTCATTGTAGAATGCAGCCAATGCTCCTGACGGTTTCTGTGTTTTGTTTTTGTTTTCCCCACTTTTTGCCCTGTTCTGTGCTTCTTGCTTATTTTCTGTATCCTTGCTCTATTTTCTGTGTGTTTTGTTTTGTGTTCTTGCTCTATTTTCTGTATTCTTGCTCTATTTTCTTGTCCATTTTCTGTGTTTTGTATTCTTGCTCTATTTTCTGTATCCTTGCTCTATTTTCTGTGTTTTTGTTTTGTGTTCTTGCTCTATTTTCTGTATCCTTGCTCTATTTTCTGTGTTTTTGTTTTGTGTTCTTGCTCTATTTTCTGTATCCTTGCTCTATTTTCTGTGTTTTTGTTTTGTGTTCTTGCTCTATTTTCTGTATTCTTGCTCTATTTTCTGTGTTTTTGTTTTGTATTCTTGCTCTATTTTCTGTGTTTTTGTTTTGTATTCTTGCTCTATTTTCTGTGTTTTTGTTTTGTGTTCTTGCTCTATTTTCTGTGTTTTTGTTTTGTGTTCTTGCTCTATTTTCTGTGATTTTGTTTTGTATTCTTGCTCTATTTTCTGTATCCTTGCTCTATTTTCTGTGTTTTTGTTTTGTGTTCTTGCTCTATTTTCTGTATTTTTGTTCTGTGTTCTTGCTCTATTTTCTGTGTCCTTGCTCTATTTTCTGTGTTTTTGTTCTGTGTTCTTGCTCTATTTTCTGTCTATTTTTGTTTTTGTTTTTCTTGCTCTATTTTCTGTGTTTTTGCTCTATATTTTCTGTGTTTTTCTTTTTGTTTTGTGTTTCTTGCTCTATTTTCTGTATCCTTGCTCTATTTTCTGTGTTTTTGTTTTGTGTTCTTGCTCTATTCTTGCTCTATTTTCTGTGTTTTTTGTTTTTTCTGTGTTCTGTGTTTTTGTTTTGTATTCTTGCTCTATATTTTCTGTGTTTTTGTTTTGTGTTCTTGCTCTATTTTCTGTGTTTTTGTTTTGTGTTCTTGCTCTATTTTCTGTGTTTTTGTTTTGTGTTCTGTGTTTTTTGTTTTGTGTTCTTGCTCTATTTTCTGTATCCTTGCTCTATTTTCTGTGTTTTTGTTTTGTGTTCTTGCTCTATTTTCTGTATTCTTGCTCTATTTTCTGTGTTTTTGTTTTGTATTCTTGCTCTATATTTTCTGTGTTTTTGTTTTGTATTCTTGCTCTATTTTCTGTGTTTTTGTTTTGTATTCTTGCTCTATTTTCTGTGTTTTTGTTTTGTGTTCTTGCTCT